GCACTGACAGAAGTAGGAGAGACGCTCATTAAAACCAGAAGGAGAAATAGAAGGAGAGAAAGGGAATAATCATGATTATACAATTTATTCAAGGTAGAGCTAAGAAACACAAGATGACATCTAGAATTGGTTAGGCAGTTAATTTAATTATTACTTTACAGGGGCAAATTTGGAGATTTTATCTAGCTAAAAATGTTAATAAGGACTTCGACTTTTGGGAGAAATAATACTCTGTGGGCTACAACTTGCCATGCGGTATACTTTGGTTTTAGGGAATTTCTCATCTGGTCCACGCTTTATATACTGGCTTCAATTTAGTAATATGCTAAAGGTAGACAGCTTCTTTTAAATAAGTTCTTTAGTTTCCAAGGATTTTTGACACTTTGATGCACCAAACTGTTTGCCTATGGTCTATCTGATGGGCTATCTGATGGGCATTTATATTTTCCTCAAAGCTCAAGTAGGAGAAAATGATTAAATATTTATTTTTTAAACTTGTGTTTTTGAAATTCATTGAAACTAAAGCTATTGCAAATAAGTATTTAACTATTTTCAGACTTATATTTTTTTTCTGTTTCAGAGGTGAAATCTAAATAAGACTTGAAGCATGGATCTGGACTCTGTCCCTAAATTAACTGAAGAGACAGAGACTTTCAGAACCCAACAAAGACAGACTTATGAACTACTGGGAATTGACCGGGGGACTAGTAATTCCTGTGATTCAAGTTTGCCTTCTCAAAGATCCTATCCTTACTCATCTCATCATCCTTGTGTGCATATTAATAGCAGCAATGATTGGGGGATTTCTGAAGAGCTACGAATTCGAGAACTGGAAGAAATCAAGTCTAGAGCAGCCCAAATGGAGAAAACAATGCGTTGGTGGTCAGATTGCACTGCCAACTGGCGGGAGAAATGGAGTAAAGTTAGAGTAGAAAGGAATAAAGCCCGGGAGGAAGGGAGGCAGCTGAGACTCCAGCTGGAGACTACAATGAAGGAACTGAGTGTTCTGAAAAAAATGAACCAAGACTTAGCAAAAGAAAAGGAGGAGTTAAAAGCTGAAATTGCTCAGAAAAAGAAATATAGTTTCTTAGAGGTACCTTATTTGAGAGAAGATGGGCACCAGTTTATGTCTCTGGAACACGAACCTGTTAAAGAAGTGGTCAAGAACAACAGCATCTGTGTCATGAAGGATTCTTGTAAGGTAAAGAATTTTCATAGTTTCATAGTTTCTAGGGTCGGAAGGGACCTGAGAAGATCATCTAGTCCAACCCCCTGCCATGGCAGGAAAGAGTACTTGGGTCAAACG